AGGGGGGTGCAGCCACAGCCCACTGGGAGCTGAGTGAGGAACACAGGTCGTCCCAGGTTTGAAGGTTTGGATCTTTACTCACCTCGTGGGCAAATGAGTCTCGTCCTTGTTGTGCCTCAGTTTCCACATAAAAGCAGCAAGAGGGTAGGGCTGGCTCTCAGGCCAACATGGGGTGACCCAGACGTGCAGCTCGCCAGATTTTGCTTTAATTTTTTTTTTTTTTTTTTTCAGAGAAGGGGTCTCACTCTGTGGCCCGGGCTGGAGTGCAGTGTGGTTTTTAATTCTTTTTTTTTTCTTTTTTTTTTTCAAGATCAGGATCTCATCCTGTCACTCAGGCTAGAGTGCAGTGGCACAATCACAGCTCACTACAACCTCAAACTCCTGGGTTCAAGCGATCCTCCTGCCGTGGCCTCCCAGAGTGCTAGGATTACAAGGGCGCACCACCATGCCCAGCAAGAATGTTGCATTTTTGGCAACAGCACACGGATATTCTGAACGTGTGGTCAATTTCTCACGGACCGCCCCGCCCCACCCCTGGAAGGTCCCCATAGCCTCACCTGACCGGTGGTAGCGGTGCCACTGCTCCTGCGAGATGAGGCCCAGCCTCCGGGCCTCCTGGGCTCCGGAGTGTAGGACAGAGGTCAGGGTGGCTTCCTCGGGCCCGCAGGCCTCCCTGGCACGTGGCGCCTGCAGGACGTAGGTGGGGGGGATGGCGTTCTCGTCCCTCCGGAAGCGTTGCGCCACCAGTTCCAGGTCCTTCGGCCTGGCTGTTAGCTGTGCCCTCAGTGCCTCCCACTCCTTCTCCTCGATCAGCGTGGGGAGTGGACGGGGGCCGTACAGGTCCCCTAGGAGGGCCTGGCAGAGAGGTGGGCAGAGAAGGAGGCACAGGTGTCTCCACCTGGACACTTAGCTCTGTGACCGTGGGTGAGGCTTGCTGAACTCATAAAAATGAGCCTGCAGGCAATACCATCGTGATTATTATATTAAGAAGTGTGGCAGAAGTGGGGACCAGTGGCTCACGCCTGTAATCCCCACACTTTGGGAGGCAGAGGTGGGAGCATTGTTGGAGGCTAGGAGTTCAAGACCAGCCTGGGCAACATAGTGAGACCCCATCTCAAAAATAAAATGAAAAAATTAGCTGGGTGTAGTGGCAGGCACCTGTAGTCCCAGCTTCTTGGGAGGCTGATGCAGGAGGATCGCTTGAGCCCAGGAGTTGAAGGCTGCAGTGAGCTGTGATCGTGCCGCTGCACTCCAGCCTGGGCGACAGAGCAAGACCCTGTCTCTGAAACAAACAAACAAAAAACACCAAAAATGCTCTGGTTTGTGGGATCGGAGCAAGGGAAATAGGAAGAGGCTCCCCCAGGAACAAGTCTCAGAGCTCTGGAGGTGCCAGGCCTGCTGGTGGCCCAAGAGACTAGAGCCTCTTAGCAGAAGTGCCGTGGAGAGCTGTCCCCGGACTCGATGCTGCCTAATGACTTATTTGCCAGAGAGACGCCTCTCCAAGGGCTCCCAGCACATCTCTGGTGTTCGTGGAAAGTGCCCCAGATCAGAATCTTGGAGCAGAATCACGCTGTGGCTCTGGGACAACAGAGGGGTGATGGCGGGTTCAAAAGGAAAGCAGAAAGTAAGTAGTCCTTAGCCAGCCACGGGGACCTTCTGGAAGGTTCCAGGGTTGGTCGGTCAGGCCTGGGAGAAGCCCAGGGATCATCCTCCGGTTCCCTAATGCAGCGTGGCAGCTGCGTTGTGCTTTTCGCTGCCTGCAGTTTGGGCTGCAAAACTAAATTCCTCCTGGAATTCTTTTTCCTCAGTTAGAAGACTGGGAAAAAAAAAATCTATGAAGGAGATTTACAAGCAGCGGTGTAGAGCCTTCCTGTGAGAATGTTTTTTTTTTTTTTTTTTTGAGACAGAGTGTCACTGTGTTGCCCGGGCTAGAGTGCCGTGGCGTCAGCCTAGCTCACAGCAACCTCAAACTCCTGGGCTCAAGCGATCCTCCTGCCTCAGCCTTCCGAGTAGCTGGGACTACAGACATGCGCCACCATGCCCGGCTAATTTTTTCTGTATATTTTTAGTTGTCCAATTAATTTCTTTCTATTTTTAGTAGAGACGGGGTCTCGCTCTTGCTCAGGCTGGTTTGAAACTCCCGAGCTCAAACAATCCGCCCGCCTCAGCCTCCCAGAGTGCTAGGATTATAGGCGTGAGCCGCCGCGCCCGGCCGAGAATGTATTTTAAAGTGGTTACAATGAAAACAGAGAGGTGCCAACATGCCATGGAAATGTCGGACAAAGGAATGAACACTCAGGCCCAACTTGATCTAAACCCTAATATAAATCAAAAAAATTTCTTACATTCTGTGAAAGTACTACATATATACACACACACGGACACATATATACACATATAGACGGTTTTCATGCACCGATCCTGGTCATAAATCCCATGGCCCTCGTTACAGTCTTTTGTTATAATGTCGGGACACTTTATGTCCGGGAAGCAGCCTCAGAAACAGAATTTCTCTCTGCCCTTCTCCTGCCCTCCTTCTGTCTGCTCCTTTCTCTCCGAGGCAGGAACCCTCCCCTGCCTTTCTGTCTTAGAGCTGCCCTGACCTACCTCGTCTGAGTGTAGACCCCCATTTTAGAAGGGGCCCTGCCCCACACCCTGGAGGAAGGAATGCTGCCCAGAGGCCAACAAGAATCTCAACAGACAGGCCTCGCTGGCCTCCATTCGTCGGGGAGGGTTGGATCATGCCCTGTCGTCCGGTCACGTTTCTACACGGTTGTCGATCGGGCCTATCCAATGAGGTTTCCAGAAAAGGCACAAGAGGAGGGGGTTGGGGGATAGCTGAATACGGGGAGGTTCCTGGAGGATGGTGCACAGCCCCCAGGAAGGACGTGGAAGCCCCACACCCCTTCCCTATGCGTCTCTTCATCTGTGTGCTTTGCAATGGCCTGCATAATAAACCCAGTAACTGTTTCCCTGAAGTTAACTCAACCCAAAGAGAGGGTTGTAGGAACCCCACCTTAAAGCCGCTCAGCCTAGAGCTCCAGAGGCCTAGACTTGCAACTGGCATCTGAAGCTGGGGGCAGTCTTGTGGCACTGAGCCACCCACCGCGGGACCTGACTGTCTCCAGGTAGATAGGGTCTGAGTTGAACTGGAGGACACCCAGCTGGCGTCCGCTGCAGAACTGACCGCGGGCTTATTGGTGGGGAGAGACCCACACACACTTGGTGAGGACAGAGGAAAAACACAGTTCCTATTTTTTCCACTCACCCCTTCCCTGCCTGGATCTTAGTTTTATTCTCTTAGGGAGGCCTCATCTCTAAGCACTGTCTGCCAGAACTTTCTGGAAAGCTAGAAGAGTTCTAACCTGCGCTATCCGATATGGTGGCTGCCAGCCATGGCGGTGTGTTTAGTACAACCCAGGAACGGAAATGTAAATTCTATTTGATTTTAATTCGTTTAAAGTTCAATTGCCACATGTAGTTTTTAGCTACCACATTGGACAATGTAATTCTAAGGCCAAACAATCCTTCTTTATTTTTCGTATTTCACTAGAAAACAGCTTTTAGAAAGGGGACCACTCTCTCCTACATTCTGAGTTATTTTCAGGAGAGGTTCCACACGGCTTTTCCTCTTATTTGGAGCTGCTCAAAGCTTCCTTGTGAGTACAGTGTGTTGAGCAAAAATACTTTCTTCACTTTTCTTTTTCTTTTTTTTTTTTTTTTGAGGTAGGGTCTCACTCTCTTGCCCAGGCTAGAGTGCAGTGGTGTCAGCATAGCTCACTGCAGCCTCCAACTCCTGGGCTCAAGAGATCCTCCTGCCTCAGCCTCCTGCCCAGCTGGTAAGCTACCACACCTGGCTAATTTTTCTATTTTTAGTTGATATGGGGGTCTCATTCTTCCTCAGTCTGGTCTCAAACTCCTGACCTCAAGTGATCCTCCTGCCTCAGCCTCCAGAGTGCTAGGATTATAGGCGTGAGCCACTGTGCCCAGCCCCTTTCTTTACTTTTTTCCTCTTTACTGTCTAGAATAGATGTCAACAAACTTTTCCCAAAAAGGATCATAAAGTCAATATTTTTGGCGTGGCAAACAAGACGGTCTCCATCAAAACAACTCAGGTCTGCCATTATAGCTCAAAGGCACCTCTAGAAAATGTGTACACAGATGGACATGGCTGTGTGCCAATAAAGTTTTATTTACAAAAGCAAGCAGTGGGCCGAATTTGCCTGATGGACTGTAGCTTGCTGGCCCCTCCTCTAGAATTTATGAGACAAAATGTCATAGTTCTTGTATGTATCTGGAACTTGGTGGTGTAATAAATCAACACTCTGGAATATCATTTGACAGTAATGGCCCAAACCATTAATTGTGCCCTGGGGGTTGATATGGTGACAGAGGGGGTGCAGTGGGAGAGGGACAAAGGAAGATTCTGTAACCTGACACCAGTGAGCACACAGAGGGGAAAAAAAATCCCCAAGATCCCATGGGTTTCTACCTTCTTTATGGTTTTCCAGGATCCCAAAATTCCACAGACATAAAGTGGATGGGGTGGGGAAGGTGGGAGAAGGTCCAGATCAAATTCTAGATTCCTTCCTGCTTCAACACTGCACTCCCCAGCTCACCTGCTGCTTCCATTGGACTGCTAATGCCTGGGTCCCAGCTAGCTCTGCAGAAAAGAGTGCTGTGATCAATTAGCAATGTCTGCCACAGGCAGGCTATAGAAAAAGGGTACGTTCGCAGAAGTGCCACCCACTTCCCTCCACTGATCTGTCCGGCTAGGGAGCAGTGGCTGTATCCTGGTGTTGGAACGAGGAGTAAGAGCTAACCCAACCCTCCCAAGAGACTCACAACAAAAGCGGGTCCCACGGATGTTTTCCGACACCGGTCGACCTCTTCCAGGCAGAGTTCCGTGGTCAGGTAGTTGGTGGCCTCAGCGTTCTGAACCCCCCACCTCAGATCAACGACCTGAGGATTACAAGCACGGGTTTGTCAGGGAGGTGGCATGACAGGTGATTTTTTTTTCAATTCCCTTTGACAAAAGCATAAACTTTCTTTCAGTAATTTTTGACAGCCTCTCCCTGTCTGGATTAAAAGAAATTGAACAAAACCCATAAGCTCGGTGTAATCCTGAGAAAAACATCAGACAGAGCAGATTCAGGCAAAGGGTATGCCTACGGTGCCCTTCCGGTCCTCCCTAACACTGCCAAGGTCATGAGCAGCAAGGAGACTGAGAAACTGTCCCAGGCCAGAGGACACCAGGGTGACATTACGACTAAATGCAATGGG